GAGGCTCGTCGCTCCTACAGAATGCACCGCACTTAGTTCTTAGCCGTATGTGATCCAATAGGATCCAACCTTTGCGCCCCTAGCGGCTAACTTGAGAACTAAACCAACGGGAACGACAATACGAGCAACTTTTTGTTCGTGTTTCCGACGCAGCGCTCGGCTGACGTAGTCGAACCCTGCGTCAACGTTCGGCTGAGGTTCGTGTCCGGAACGGGGAAGCACCAATTCAGCACGAGTCGCAGCCGAACATCGACACTCTGTGGCCCCCTTACTAGATCGAGGAGTGATGACGTAATAAAAGCATTCCACAGGCCTTGTGTATAGGTAAACACCGAGCTCTGTGGAAAACAAGATCGGCAAAGTGCCCCCGTATGGTTCGACTTCCTCGCCGAAACCATACACGTGCCGACTTTCTCAAACAAATGAAAAGAGAAAGAAATAAACAGTCAGGTGCAGCTATCGTGTCCTTCTCCGAGTCGTCCTGTTTGTTTGGCGTTTGATTACTGCAGATTATAGTCGTAATGAAGCACAGACGGGGGGACGTGCTAAACGCCTACTTCCAGGGTATTCCCCTTGCTGGGTACACCAGACGCTCGTGTAATCATACGTATCAATCGTGAGGACACATGAAGGATAGCAGAACAAACGCGCATCAGGGCCACCTGGCTCTTCGTGCGCGGATATTGAAGGCCAGGTCCGGTCTCTGGAGTTTCAGGTTTGTTGTAGTACCGCGAGGGATCCTTCACGCGTGTTGGCTGGCGGGCAGTGCGTGTGCGTAGGAGGCGGCAAATCAGATGCCGTAGTTTGATAAGAAGCAGGAAAGGGACGGGAACAAACTGTTTTAACGCGTCGAAAAATCGAGATGTGTGTACGTTGAAAAAAAAAATACGTAGCATGCGGGAAAACCTTACCCCAGGTGCGTTGGAAAGCTGGGCCGTCTGGAATTGTTATTGACCGTTGTTGAGAGATATGTGTGATCATTTGAATGAATGGACGTCGTTTTTCTTTTTACGCGGAGAAGGCACCCATCATCTGGTTTTGTGAAACTGTTTTGAAGGATTAGAAGCTGAAAAACAAAATGGTTCAGGACAGACATCCTTTTATGTAGGCCGGATTAATATTATCCGAATGTCGCAATATATATATATATATATATAAAATAAGGAAATAAGCAGCGAATGATGATGCATTCGGAACAGAGATGTCTGATCCCAGTCTCACTGGCGCCCGGGATATCCTGGTGATATCCCACACCGGTTGGTGACAATTACAAAGTTTCAGAGGAGAAGCAAATTGGTCTAGAAAAGCAAAAAGAGGAATCATACTTTTTTATTATTATTTCTAGGTTAGGTGGCGCAAGCTACCGTCCGTTATAAAGGGTGCAGCCGTTAGGATCTATCCATCTATCCATTGGGCGTTGCTTCCCGAGCGCTGACGCAGCACTCGTGCCCAATACATGTTCAAAGTGCATGCCCACAATACGGTGGCCTCGGAAATCGACGCAGCTGCCATTGGTTGCGCGCACTTTTGAAAAAAAAAAATACTTATACGCAGGAACTAACCGCTAGGTCGAAAAGCGCGCACGTGCATACCCTAGACTCCTCTACGACGTCAAGGCATATGCTTGTGTGTCGTTGGTTTTAGCGCGGTCTATTGATGTGGCCGAGCGCCCGCTAATACTTTGTGTTGTTTGTCTCCTGTCTGTGCCCGTGTCCCGGCTTCCAAATGCTAAGTCATTTCTTAAAGTAGCTGGCCTACCTGCTCACCATTACCCTTATTGTGGCGTTTACCTATTGCTTTTGGTGGTGACCTTGATTTTGCAAGCTGACTTGTCTTTTTATGTTTTTGGCTTGTTGCTGCCGTTTGCGGTATCGGCTTCGCGATCTGGCTTTAAGTGGCTCGCTTATATTTTCTCTGGTGACGTAAACTAGCCCCAGAATAGGGCCTAATTTGCCATGGCTGGTTTCTATCTTTTTTTTTTTTTTATTATTATCGGCATATCTTGTGTCCACTATACAGAGCATGTTCTTTGCTGGCGTCGATATGTTATATTTCGCCATTATTTTTTGTATACTTCTGATGTATTTTCATTCATCCTTGGTTTTCTTAATTTTATTTTTCCAGATTTGCTTACGTATTTTTTTTACTGTCCTCCTTCCATATATTTTTCCTCCTGTCGCAACATCACTTCCTATAGCATATAATCTAGTGCTGGGATCACGTAGGGTAAAATGTCATTATCGTACCCTTTGGACCACTGTTCATCAGCAAGTCCTGCCTAACCGTGTGTTTTCACCTCATTCATGGCACACAGTAACCGTCATGCCTTTATGCAACCACCCTTCGCCCAAATTTCCGGAATTTGTTTTTCAATCCTTGTCCTCCACCGTTCTCTCCCCTTGGGACAAGGACCGGACATTCAGTGGATGTCCATATCTAGCTACATATCAGCACCCCTGGAGCCTCACCCTCAGAGCCACAGAACCACGCTCCTTGACGCCATATGAAATGAATGGACGCCTTGATAGCAAGGCGCCCATTCATTTCATAACATTGCTACTGAGTGTGGGCATAGATGCAGAGTTAGCTTAGCTGGACCCTCGTTCGGAGTTCAAGTTTAATTAGCGCGTCTGATAATGTATGCGGATGAGCTCTGGTTTTGAAAGTCGTAGTCCTGAGCTTTAGCTTGACCTTGAGTTCTGATCAGCTGAAGTTTAATTTGCACGGGAATCAACATTTTCCGCAGATGTTAGGCGCCATCTATCGGCAGCGCGGGAGCCGCCTTGTGGATATCTTAAGAAAGATTTTACCCGTGATCACGGCTGTGCTGTTGCTGTGACCCGTCAGTGGAACAGAATGGCAGCATGCTGTGATTTGAAACGCTCGGCTGTCCGAAACTCATATACTGTTATTGGTACTGCCACGCAAGCGCACCACCACAAATGGCGGACCGACCCTGGAAAGGGTCCATGGTATAGTTGCACTCGGTGTCGAACATTCCTCGTTATAACTCCCCTTTGCCTGCTTCTCCAGAAACCTTCGCAAAATCAGTCAAGGGTGGCAGAAGGCGCGATCATATTTGAGTTAATAATAATAACAACAGCAAGAATAAGAATAATAAAAATAATACTTTATTTCCATCCTTTATGATGGGGGAGCCCAACAAAAAAAAAAGCTGCAGTGAGGAACTTGACGAGTCCCTGGGCCCCTACAATGGCCAGCAGCAAGCGTGCGGGACTGAGACAAACAAAAAGCAGCATGCTAGCGTGCTAGAAGCAACGATGTAACGAATTAGTGCACAAAACTAAAAACACCTTTTGCAAATGTTAAGAGAGAAAATTATCACGTACAAGCATATAACAAGCGCAAGTCTCTAAAGGTTAGACTTTCTAAATCAACGTTATTGCTGCTAAGGCTGTTTAAAGGAGCTGTGCAACGATATTCAGTTGGAATGTTTTTTCACTTTACACGAGCTTACTGGCACTAGTGGGGATCAAGGATACTCGCACGCAACTCCGCTGGCCGAGAAACTCCTTTGTTGCGGTGTAATTTCGAGGACAAAAGCGATCATTTTCATTCAATCTCTCTTTTGCAAAATTTGATGACGTAACGTGGGGATCGCAGTACACCCAAGTGACGATATTTGAATGCTGTTCATAGATTGGACCCGAGCATTGCGTGGGCACTCGATTTGGGCTCGTGATAATTACTAGCTCGGGAAGCGTTCGGGTAGTGACCCGTGTCCAATCGCTGCAACGACGACAATAGCGGAGCCATAACAATATCTGGAACTCAGCGCGTGCATTGTGCTTTGCCAACCCCAGCGCGTGGCTATGATCTACATTGGCGGCATATAATCGGCTCCAGATCACGTGGCCGCTTGTTCTGGCTGTGAGTTGAGGGGGTGAACGCTGCTCGTTTTTCTTTAATTTTTTTTTTTTGTGGGACTTCTATTGCGTGGGGTGAAAAAGGGACGCGTGTTTCCATAGGTCATTAACGTCAGGGATCCGTTCTAAGCGGTATTTGCGCAAAGTACAAAAATTGTTGCATCGCCCCTTTAATAAATGCGGGAGTGTGGAACTTATCATTTGAGAGCCATAATTTGTTCGCTGCGTGACCATCTTCCATTTCTCTGGGTTACGGGTAGGATACGGACGAGAAGTTTCCCTCAGCGACGCAAGGTTTTCCAAAAGACGTGTACCTCTTTTTTTTTTCCTCACTTTTATAACTAGCAGAAAGCCGATATTGATATAACTCGTGAATAGTGATTATCTCAAAGTTCTAAATAAATCAGCGGTATGAAAGTCGCGTGGCACGTTACATAAACACCTCAATATTTTCTTCTGTAACAAACAGTTTTTCAATATTGGTAAATATTGATGTTCCTCCAACAACGTAGCAGTACGTTAAGGGGGATAAAAATATTGATTTATAAGGATAATTTAGAATTTGTTGGTAACACAGATCTGTATCGATTTATAATCCCCACTACTCGAGCTAGCTTTGGAGTAAGATAATTTATATGGCTACCCCAAGACATGCCCAAAAAATGACTCCAAGAGTTTTAAAACAACTAACAATTTCGATTGGAGTAGATCTAAAAGAGAGTACTTTAGACAACTCCACGGGATTGTTTTTTGGACGAAAAATCACAGCTTGTTTCATGAATATTGATTTTCAAGGAGTTGCTGCCTTCCCAACTTTTTATCTTTGATGAGGTCAGATTTGCCACATCGATTAAATCGTCGCAAGTATCGGAAAAACTGCGTTACCGAAACGAATGGTAAACAAATGGAGTATCATTTTTTTTTCTTTGGATCAGATCCTACTTGCGTTCTATTATCATGACTGTCCGGATATCATCATCCCTCTCACCTGCTTTGGTTTCCACCCCACCCCGTTTATGGAAGTGTCACGTAGCGCTTATCATTTCCTTAGCAGGTGTCGAAGTCCCTGATTGATTCGCCGAGTGTTCAGCAAGAACAATATATATTTTGCAGAAAAGCGGCCAGACCATGTCTTCCCAAGAGCGGAGCGGGGTTCGTAAGCTGGCCCGCGAAGCTGCCATCCAAATCGCGTCTGGCGGCTCGGCAGGGTTCGTCGAGATCTGCATGATGCATCCGTTGGACGTCGTCAAGACGAGATTCCAGGTGCAGCGCAACAACGTCGCTCCCGAACAGCGCTACAAATCCATCGCGGACTGCTTCCGGAGGATGATCCGAGCAGAAGGATTCCTGTCCATCTACAAGGGCATCCTCCCGCCGATCCTGGCCGAAACGCCCAAACGAGCCGTCAAGTTCTTCACCTTTGAACAGTACAAAAAGCTCTTTTCGTACGGCTCGCCTCCGCAGGCTGTCACGCTGTCCCTAGCAGGCCTCTTCGCCGGTCTCACAGAGGCTGTCTTCGTGAACCCTTTCGAAGTGGTCAAGGTCCGGCTCCAGACTGACCGTGAGGTCGTGACTCGGCAGCCGAGTACCTTTGCCGTAGCACGTAGCATATACCGCGCGGCCGGTTTCGGACTGCGCGGTCTCAACCTAGGACTGACTTCGACTCTGGGACGTAACGGTGTCTTCAACATGGTCTACTTCGGGTTCTACTTCACCGTGAAGGACAAGCTTCCCAAGGTCGAGAGTGAGGCGGCGACGTTCGCGATGCGACTGGCCACTGGGTTCGTCGCCGGCACTGGAGCGTCGATGGTCAACATCCCGTTCGACGTGGCCAAGAGTAGAATCCAGGGACCTCAGCCGGGACCTCATGGAACTATCAAGTACAGGACCTGTCTGCAGAGCATGCGCACCGTCTACGTCGAGGAAGGTTTCCTGGCGCTGTACAAGGGTTTGCTGCCCAAGGTTCTTAGACTGGGACCGGGAGGGGCTGTCATGCTCGTGGTCTACGAGCACATGAACGAGTTCCTCAGGAATAAGTTCCCGGGTTGATGCTTTTTGGAGGCTAGCCGAAGTGCCGACCCGTAGGCACTGACAGATGTGGATCGACACGGTGGACTTTTAGGTTACCCTTTCTTTGGCGCGAGCACCTTGCTTTTCATTGAACTTTGGCAGAGTACTGATTGTGTCTTATTAAAACTCAGAGAAGGTTTGATTCTCAGGCCTGACATTTTGGCAGCTGGATGGCATTGTGTCTTTTCAAACCTGTCCTTGACTGCAGTCCGTAATGAAAACTGATTTTGATTGCACGTGCGCATTGGTGCAGGGTGACGGATGGTTGGACACACTTAGTTACCGCGATTGTGATGTGTTGGGGGAAGCAATATGAAATGTCCGGTTTAATCATAGATGTCTATTCTTGTGTGTTTTGGCCGGCGTACATTTGTTGTGTGCTATATGTTATGTTTGTTGGATATTAGATGTGTGTATAGTATAAAAATAATATACGCGGTATTTTTCTTGTTCTGGCATATCATTGCCTTGTTTTATAGAACGTATGGTTTGCTCCTCTGGTGAGAGCGGTGTAGGCATGCTTGTTTTGGAAAGGGGCACCCCTGTGTTTCACTGGCTTGGAAGAAGTTACGCAACGGGTATATATCGCCAGATGTGGCCTCTTGTGCTTCCCTGTTATATTGAGGCCGTCTGTCAGGCGCCATGTCAATAAGCCTCTGCGACTCGTGGAAGTCGGACCACTCAGATAAATAAATAGGCGCAAATAAATATGAAATTGAACACGTGTAACGGCCTTTCCTTGTGTTTTCTTTTTTTTTTTTTTTTTTTGTCTTTTGCTTGTCTCAAGTTGCAGTTCTGGAAAGTTCTGGAGTGGAAGGAAAACTTCTGCTCTTGCAGAAGTTTTCCTTCCAGCGGTCTTGTGCTGTGGACATCCGGTACAAAGATTTTCCCAGCTTTACCGGAGAGTCAACATACACAAATCTGGGATGGTAAACTTTCCTCGTTTCTTTCATACGCAGGAATAGCCTGGAACATTTCCGTTATCCGCGAAATTTACGTTCTCCATACGACGTAGTGCCCTCCGCGTACGATACATTGTTTTATTGTTTCTTTATTACTTTATTTATGTATTGGCCAGCTTTTTAGATACCTGACCGCGATTTATTCCCATTTTGTTTGATTTAAATAGTCACTAGAAAAACTAGATTTTCGGACGGTTTTCAATTACTCGATTTTGAATATCGAGCAAATAGTCACCATTCTCGAAACAATAGAGCTCTAAGTGAATTCGAGAGTTTTGACGCAAGGAAAATTTCGATTGCACTTTTCTCTTCTATCATTTTTTGTTTATTTGTTTTTGTGCGCTCGGGGAGGGTCTAGTTCAGTTACGTGACGAAGATTTATCATAGAGCGTTGGAAGCCAGCAGCTGATGTGCCACGTCAAGGCGCAAAATAAGTTGGCACATGCAACAGCAAAAAAAAAAAAAAATTGTGCATGTTTATACAACCTCGACGGGCAACTTGTCTCAGTTGTAGATAAGCAATTCAGCCAGTGCGGTACAACCGCTAGCCTGGGCTCTTTAACGTGCATCACGCAGTAGTGACACTCGATCGCACGCCGGTACGATGCTCATCCAGATCAAAACGGGCAGGGGTGGGGACTGAACCCAGGATCGGTTCTACAGCGCGAGCTTTCGCTCCACGTGCTCCGAGCTGGTGAGCGCTCGCCCAGTCGGCCACCGACCCCCCCCCCCCCCCCCCCCCCCCCTTGGCACATGCAAGTACCTCTCGTTATGATGTTTTACTGGGAACCCGGATGATTCCCCACTCTCATCAGGTGAGTTCGCTCGCGTTAACCCGAATATGTTCATGGATGTACTGTTATATAGACTCGGCAAGAGAAGCTAGCCCTGTGCAAATCCACGAGCGGTACGAGCCGTTTTGCACCCCGCAGTCAAACCCTCCAAAAAAGTTACCCTCCGGTTTTAGCGTAGTTATCGCGAAGAAAGACTATACGGCGAGCAAAGTGTTCCAAAACACGTCTGCGGAGTAGCGGAACGCGTGTAGGAGTACGCCAATCAGTGGACAACATAGAGAACGCGACTGGGACGCCGCCTTGCGGGCATTTCGCGGGGATTGCGGTTTAGTCGGTTTAGTGGTCATTTTCGCCGTCTTCGCTGGCGTTAAAACCGATGCTAAAGCCGCGCCCGGTGTTAAAACCGCACCTGGCAAAGAAAATAAACGGCGCGCCCAAAGGAATCGTGTAGGCTGGGCGTGCTTCGGCGTACACCACCGCGATTTCTGCAGTCCCCTGTGCTGCAAGCGCCGCCCGATGTCGAGAGTAGAGCTCCGCTTGCGTGCGCTAGCAAAACTTAAAAAATAAATAAAAAAAACAACAACAAAAGAACCTGGGTTATATGCGAGCAGAGCTTATTCAAGGTTCGTCTGGTAGCTGAGTTGGATATGCTGCCTTCACCTTCCTTGACCATAAGAATAAAGCATATTTCTACCTCATTTTTCCTCACTGGGTATGAGCTATTCGTTTCACTACAGGCACCGTAGTTTGACACCAACAACGTCCCTTAATGTTTCTTTTTTTAGTTAGGTTCATCATTGCGCTGACACCTGAAAGCCCTTGTAGTTGTAGCTGCTAGGTAACAACACAGGTTCAACAAAGCTGTTGTGTGTGTATGTGTGTTTGCATGTGCGCGCGTGCGTGCGTGCGTGCGTGCACGTGTGTTTACGTGTGTGTGTGTGTTTTTTTCTTATTGTACTCGAAGAACTGCTAAGGATGATTTCACACGTGGTCCAAGGGCCTCTTCCCCGGCGGCGATACTTGAGGTTAATTCTGTCTTCGTCGTCTGTTTCGGGCGCTTGATTTTCGAGCATGAAACGCCTTTTAAACGTAACTCCACAATCCCAGAAGTCTGTCCTTCTATCCACTCGTTCGTGCATTCAGCGGGAACATTGAAGTCACGCGGCGTCTTGGCGCCACGTGACACCGCAACTGGACAACGTGACGTCACGTCAGGGGACCTTTGCACCAGTTCGGTTCACCTCTAAATTTAGCCGGAAAATTGACGCCACGCCTCCTATGCTCTAATTCGGTTTCTTCCGCGTTAGATGTAGCGTGAAAATCGACGTCGCGCGAAGTTGCCACGCGACGTCACGTGTCGAGTCGGTGGGTGACGGGATTGCAACGACGTCTGGTGACGCGAATTTTAAACCCGAATTTGGCGGGGAAATTAATCGACGATAAGTTATTTGATCCCCGAAACGACCGTTCGATGTCTCCTGCATAATCACCGAACGCAGGCGTAGCTTATTATTTTAATCGATTCGGGATTCGCTCTTTCTAGTCTTACCGGCCTATTCAGCAAGTGTGATTTGTTGTGGAGCTATAATACGATTCGGGGTGGGGCTCGCTACGCACTGCGTTCCCTAAGATAGACAGGCTAGAATAGACTAGCAATAATGGTCGCTGCCATCTTTATCTGCGCACAGTTTGTCGGATGTTCGCCTAACGCAACCAAACCGGCTGGCCGGCTTTAATGCAACCTACAGCGTACGCAATCCTTTCGGTAATGGGTTGTCCCGAAGATGCTGGTCTCAAGGTCCCGCTGTCTCTACGGCGCACCCCTTGCGCCTGGATGGGCGTCCCTGGAGGAGCCTTTGGACGTCGTCCAACGTATCGCGTTTATCTGAGCTTTTCGTGGGAACGCTGGGAACCACCTCCGTTAACTGTCGCCCCTTTTCTCAATCGCGGATCCTTTTCGAACGCCGATCGTTTACCATTGACGTCAACAGGGCCGCTTGTTTCGAGCGAATGGGAACTCCCGTTCGGAGGAAAAGAGTCGTGCGAGATACAGCGAATAACAAAACGATCGTTCGACTACCAAATTACGTTAATCTATACCAGGAAACACATCCACTAGTTGGAACAAGCCGCGCATTCAATGGTTATCTTTCTTCGCGATTGTTTTTTTCGGTCGGAGTTTTGAAGGTGACGAAATACTTACGGCCTTTGTGAGCCAATCGGAGAGCAACAATGTGAAACATGCCGCAAGTTGCAACATACTCTACTTTAGAATTGTGGCAGTAGTAAGAAGTGCTCGTAGAATCTGCTCAAAATCGTTTGACCCTTCTGGGGTCAAACGCTCACTTACGTGCGTAAGTGATCGAATAATATGTAATGAGTTAATTTTTTAAGTGTAGTATTTTGTATTTTCTTATAGTAAGATTGGTATTTATTTCTACTCCATTAGACTGAGGGGGGGGGGGGGGGGGACAGGAGAAGAAGTTGCACGAAATAGCTTTACGGGGCTCCCGTCTTCATCGCACGGCTATACTGGCGTCACAGTAGAGACACGCGACACGCAGACACACAGCGAAAACGTTAAAAAAAAACACACATGAGTACGCACTTTGAAACGATTACTCCGAGGCAGCAGCAAAAAAGGTGAGATCAACAAATTTTTTTTGGTAGTAATTGTGGTACGAGCTAGGTTATTATTTCGAAGTTTATTAGGAGTGTACATAACGTACGCAGTATTGACTGACGGATCCCCATGGGTTTTTCGAGAGCTGGGTATATTCCATGTATTTTAATAGCCTGTGTTGGGTTCGTTTTTTACGTAGTAGTCATACCAGTAATCTATTTACTTTTTGAAATAATAGGATTACTAGTATCCGTTACTATACATGCCCTATCTTGCTCCCCACCCCCCTCCCCCAATCACCACCTTCTTTCTTTCCTTTTTTTTTTCTTCTCTACCTTCGACGGCCTGATCACCACGTTGCACTGCGAATTATTATTTTTATTTACGATACTGCGAACCTCGCGGTCAACGCAGGAGAGTTAAAAAAAAAAAAGTTTGTACAACCAAAGCAAACAATTTCAGCACTCGGACGGATCATTACACTAGCACAGGCAAGGTATAGTTGCCTCCTGTGCATCTTTTAAATGCATGTTCAATTGTTCTACAAGAAAATGAGTACTTGAAAACATCATTTTTATATTGGTAAGGAGCAATCGTCTTGACGTTAGTGGTCCTCTGGGAGCGTGATGTTGAAGACCGCAGGTACAGCTGAGGATCAATCTTCGCCGTTCCGTTTGCAATACAAAAGAGTTGTTTTAGTCTTGTAACTTGTCTTCGGCTTAGCCAAAGAGTCAAGTTGTGCCATTTGTCTCAGCGCTGAAACATAATCTCTCCGGTTGTATCTGGAAAAAATAAATCTTACAGCCCGATTTTCTATTCTTTCTATTTGAGAATTCTGATCTCTTCCTATATGGGTCCCATACCGAGTTTATGTATTCTAATACCGAACAAACATAGCGCTTATAAGCAAGTAGCCGCACGTCACTGCTAGCAAGGATAAGTTTTCTTCTTGGGAGTGCTAGCTTTGTGTAGGCTTTCGCACAAACATAGTCCACGTGGTTGTACCATCGCATATTACTGGAGAATACAACACCTAGGTACTTGAATTCGTTTACCGTTCGCAGAGGTATGCCTCCAATTGTATCTCGATATTTGTAATGCTACGAAAAACCGTTTTGTCCAAATTGATTACCATGCTCCATCTTTCACAGCATGAGTTCAGTTTTTCTGGAGAAGCATTAAGTAATTCCTGGTCTGCAAGTGTACACGCATTAACGAACAGCATGCAATCGTCTGCAAATGGTTTTACTTGAATGTCAGGAGATATATCTTTGGCTATATCGTTAATATATAACAAGAACAAAAGTGGACCCAATACGAACCCCTGTGGCAGCCTCAAATAAACAGCTAGCGG